CACTGTTTCAGCGGGGTCTGCTTCAGAAGGGCTCCATCGTTTGCTTGAAGCAATTCACCTGTACCCAAGTCCAAAACCGCCTGTATGTGATATTATACTATTCCATCCTCGTCAAACTTCACTCCTTTGTTGTTACTTTTCTGAAATTTTATTGATGGGTATTTTTGTTTCGTTTAGTTTTTTTTTTCGTTGGGGGGGTTGGGTCAAGGGAATTGAGGGAGAAGGGGTTCTCAAATTTATGGTTTAGTTGATTAAGAATTCAGGAATCTAGTGATTTTGGTTTCAGTTAGTTCATTATTTGCAGTCATGGTTGGTTAAGCATTGATGATGGAAGCAAGAAGGAAAATCTGTAACATTTCTAGAAGAAATTAATTTAAGTGCACCCGGTGATTGAAAAGTACATAATTTTATATATATATTTATATATATTATTGTTATTGTGTGTTCTTTCAGCTTGTATTATTTGTTTTCTTTCTTTTTTTTTTTGTTATGTTAATTGAAAGTTGTTCTGCTTTAATGCCATGCCAAGTCTACCTTTTCTCTTCCTCAAAAAATATTCGAATTCTGTTTACTGCTTGCAGGATCATCATTATAATTGAATTGGATTTGGTGCTTGATAAATGTGATCTCATTGGAGAGCCTGTAGCAGGACCTAAATATCTGAATGCACAGTCCTCAGGGCCATTACCTGGAAATGCCCAATCTATTGGTGGCAGTGCACATTCTGGTGGCGCAGTTCATCAAACTGTGACTAAAGCTACTCCGGAACAACCTAGAGTAAATCAATCATTTGGTAGTGCTTATTCTGGTGGTTCTGACCCAGGAAGACATGTGACAATGAGTACTACTCCCAATCAACCTAAACCAGAGCCTGGTTTTGGTTTTCCTGGATCAGCACCATTAAGTGGGTCATATAGCAATCAGAACACAGGTTTTCGCAGCCCTAGACCTGAGGTTCCACAGCCAACTGTAAATGCTTATGCTCGGCCGCCTCAGCCAACTTATCAACAGCCATCTCCAACGTATCCTAATAGAGGACCAGTTGTCAAAAATGAAGCCCCTCCTAGAATAATGCCAATTGCTGCTCTGAATCCATACCAAGGGCGGTGGACAATCAAGGCTAGAGTGACAGCTAAAGGAGAACTTAGGCACTACAGCAATCCTCGTGGTGATGGGAAAGTTTTTTCTTTTGATGTTCTTGATTCTCATGGTGGAGAAATTCGAGCAACCTGTTTTAATGCTGTGGCTGATCAATTCTACAACCAGATTGAAGTTGGCAAGATTTATTTGATCTCCAAGGGTAGTTTAAAAGCAGCCCAAAAGGCTTTCAACAACCTCAACAATGACCATGAAATTACTTTAGATCACACATCGATAATACAGCCATGTTTTGAGGATGATGACTCAATTCCAAAGCAGAATTTCCATTTCTGTCGTATAAGTGATGTTGAAGGCTTGAACAACAACTCTATTGTCGATGTAATAGGTGTGGTATCCTCCATCAATCCCCCTGCTTCTATACTGAGGAAAAATGGTGTTGAGACTCAGAAGAGATCCCTCCAGTTGAAGGATATGTCTGGTCGTAGTGTTGAGGTAACTCTATGGGGAAATTTGTGCAATGCAGAGGGACA